GGGACTGAGCTACCCTCCATCTACCAGATATATCTCATCCGCTGCCACAACTGGGCTCTAGCTATACTTCGGACCCAATTCACCCTGGCCACGATCTGTTTTCACCCCTGGGTTCTGGTAGGAGGTATCGCAGTATCAGAACACTGACCAATAGATTCAAAAACAGTTTCTTCCCCCAAGCAGTCCACATCTTAAACAGCTCAAATTAGCACCTGCACATATTAGCACCTGCACTTTAAGGTACTGCACTGTTTGCACTATGTCCTGTCTTGTCTGTATTATAATGTCTATTGTCTGAATTTATTGTCCATATCTGTTTGTCATTTGTGCATTTTTTATTATTATTTTTTTCTCTTTCTCTAATGTTACTGGGTACAGCTGAACGAGTAAGCATTCCAATACACTTGCTGTATATGGCAAATAGAAAAATCTTGAATCTTGAACATAGAATGTATATGATACGATAGTACTGAAGAATTTAAAAATAACAGATTCAACATTCACAAACTGCGGAGAAGGGGCTAACCCTGTGTGTCCCGAGACCTGCTGGCCCAATCTGGTGCAGAGGGAAGCAGAGGTCTGCTTGCATGTGAGTTGGATTTTTTTGGGAGGCAGCAGCCACTAACTTTGGAGGAAATACCAGATTCCACGCTCGCACACTGTGGAGAAGCATATCCCTGGGGTATCACATGAGTGAGTGTGGCTTCTGTGGGAGACAGTGATATATAAGGGGATACAATAGTGTGCAGATAACATGGCTAAGGAGAATGTTTCTGCCTACCAATAAAATATTTCAGGCTAAGAAAAAACCAAAGCAAACTGTCCTTTCATGTTTATTTTGGTTCCTCTCCATGAGTTAGTTTGTGTAATGCACATTAAGACAAAATTCGTAGGAAGACGTAATTGCAGATTAACACCTCATTTCTCATAATTGCAATACTTAAGTAAACCCAAAATTCAGAACTGCACGTTTACTACGCACAAACAATGCTTGTGTGAGTCTTTTGCTTTTGATCGGGACATGCAAACAACTGTAAAACTTATGTTGTGGGAAATTCTTCATCAAAGGAGCAGGACACAGTCTTGTGCGGATTCAGTTTTATTGAGCCTCAATAAGGACAGCAACGTGTGTGCTGGGTCAGCCCTGCAGAGAAGTACTGTACGGACTAAGAGACAAAAGTTACTGCAGTACTTCACACTTTAACATGACAGGAGCTGATTTGACACTTTTAGTGTTTTCCTTGATTATGGCTTCCTCTATTTTCCTCCTTTAACACTTGCAACAGGGCATTTGTTGCTGCAGCTGTTGGTACAAGTCACCTTTGTTTGCTATATTTTGAGATAACCTGAGTTAACAGATCTCAGCAATCACTTTTATTACTTCTACAATATGGTTCAGTACTAACATTGTAGTACTAGATATATGCGGTATAGATATAGGTCCGACTTCACTTACAAAAACCTGAAATTTAGAATAGCGCATTTCCTACAGACATTATGAAATGTGTGCGCAAGCAGGCAGACAAATTATACCTCTGATTTCCAGTGCACATGCGCACTTTGAAGGGGGATATAGATTTCGCAGCATACTGAATTCAATAAGACACGGCACAAACAAATCAAGTTCAAGTGTTAGAAATCACCTGTCAACTCGAACAGAATCTAACCAAGATTCATCCTGTCTGAAGGACTGAATGTACACCAAGCAGACAAGCGAATAATTTCAATTATATATATAAACAAATATCGTACATATAATTATAAAATACATATAAACAATGCAAATAATTTGATAATCAAACTATATAAAAAAACAGAGTGCTGGGATGCCATTATTTTCAGAATAAAGTCAGCCTTCAGTCCACTATGGGTGGTTGTGAGTATCAAATCAATACTGCTCACAACTCCAGGGACACCTTGTTTTAGTGTCACATGTCTGCGCTCAGTTTTACACACAAACATGACCAAGGAAATTTGTAGCACTGGACTCTGGCTCTCAAATCTCCAAAAGAAGACTGGTAATTTCGACTGTAAAACAAATAGCCTCAGTTAATTAAGGC